ATCCTCGGGGACCCAGCCTACCCGCTAATGCCCTGGCTCATGAAGCCCTATACTGGCGCCCTGGACACAGAAAAAGAACTGTTCAACTACCGGCTGAGCAAGTGCAGAATGGTGGTGGAGTGTGCTTTTGGCCGTCTCAAGGGGAGATGGAGAAGCTTACTCACTCGCTGTGATCTCAGCGAAACCAATATCCTCATCGTTATTGCAGCTTGCTGTGTGCTCCACAATCTCTGTGAGAGCAAGGGGGAGACCTTTATGGCGGGGTGGGAGGTTGAGGCAAATAGCCTGGCTGCTGATTACGCCCAGCCAGACAGCCGGGCGATTAGAAGAGCCCAGCGGGACGCGCTGTGCATCCGGGAGGCTTTGAAAGCCGGTTTCAAGACTGAGCAGGGTACCCAGTGACTTTTAAGTTTGTGGACACAGAAGCTGAACTTGCCCCCGTTTCTTTACCCAGTTGCCGTCGACTATCCTCTCCAGTTACATACCCCCTTCACCCCCTTCCCAAAAAATAAAATCTGTTCTGTTTTGTTAATGGACACCGTTGTCTTTATTACTGTTTTCGCGGGAATGTTTTAAACCTGGGACGCAGACTGTGGCGGGGGGCGGGTTTAGTGTTGTGATGCAAATGATGCTTCTAAACTCCAGGAATGACAGGCTCCGCGGTGGTGGACTGGTTGTTTCAATGGAGCCTGCCAGCCCTCCTGGCCGGGACTGCGTGTATGTGTCGGCTATGTGACTGTCTTGCAGGGGGAGGAGGGTTACAGATCCCCTGCTGCGCGGCTCTGTGATCCAGGGTAAGGACCGCTGCATAAGATCTGTAACTGCCCTCCCCCGCCACCAAGTCACAGAGCAACACCACCCCCCCCACCACACAGAACATGAAAACCACCTCCCAGACTGACCAGGATAACTAGTCACTGCACTGTATATGTGCCTTGCTGCTGCACCTGCCCCCTGCTAAAGGTGACTGTCCTGTCCAATTACCAAGCCCCTTCCCCCCCCTTCAGACAGACTCTCCTCCAAAAGAAGAGGATGGAAACAGTAATGAACAGAAACGTATTTTTTATTAACAACCGCACATGGAACGGGGGGGTGAAACTTGGACGGGGTCTTGTGTGAGGCGGGTAGGAAAGGACTTTTCAAATTTTGGGGAATGAGAGCCTTCTAGTGGTAGAGCAGTCCGCAGGGGTGGAGTGAAATTTTTCACGGCCCCTTCCGCCCCTCCGTGTTTGGACTTTGGGTGAGGGGGGTATGGGACTTGGTGGCGGGGCAGGGCAGTTAGAGAGAGACTGCAGCGGGGCTCTCTCCTCCTGCCTCCGGTCCTGCAGAACATCCACAAGGCGGCGGAGCGTGTCCGTTTGCTCCCTCATTAGTCCAAGCAGCGTTTGAGTATCCTGCCTGTCCTCCTGTCGCCACCTCTCCTCCCGTTCAATGTTTGCCCGGTGCATTTGGGACAAGTTCTCCCTCCACTGTGTCTGCTGGGCTGCCTGTGCTCGGGAGCGTCCCATTAGTTCAGCAAACATGTCTTCCCGTGTCCTCTTCTTCCTCCTCCTAATGTGCGCCAGCCTCTGGGCAGATGTGGCTGTGGGAATTGGAAAAAGGGAGTGAATTCCTGAGACAGATCAATGTATCTGTGAACAGAGAACATAGTCTTTCTCTGTGAACAAGACCATGCAGAGCACCTATCACACGCGCACTGAGGACAAGGTCGAATTTTCGGCCCTCGCCTACAGTGCCTGCGGTCTTGCTGTGGCGAGCTGAGGAGCAGGGCAGGACACCGGACTTTGTCTAGATGGCAAACATGGTAAGCCGTAGACTTGTGGCCGCTTAAAACTTTAAGAGTGGCACTGGCCTCCTTTCACATAGAAAGCAATGCGAGTCTCTGCTGGCAGCAATCCTGCAAGCATGAACTCTGGCCCTGTCCCACCCCCTCGCGGCTGTAAACCGCGTGGCTGTAAACCGGCGGTTGCAGTTCTGTAAAGGAACGGGCAAGCAGTCCCAATACTAACTTTCCCCTACCTAATTCACAGCAGGGAGTCATGCCAGACATCACCCTCCTGAAGGTCTCGGAGAGCCAGAAGGAGCGGATGCTTCGGGACAGCCTGCAGAAACCGGGGCCATTTGCTGCAATGCTCTGCAAGGCCATGATCCCCGAGTACCTGCTGGCGTTGTGGCAGGGAAACGTCTCATACCACGGGGGGCCTAATAAGCTCTCCCTGCCCAGGAACCTGCTCATGAGGCTTGAAAAACACCTGCAGGAGGCCTATGAGGAGTTCTCCCCGGAGGATGTCGCCTCTATCCCCGGATACATTGACCAGTTTTTGGCTTAGGTGCCCTTGGAGGGACAAAAGAGTGCAGCGTTTTGGGCAGTATAATCATGAAGCGGACATTGTGAAATTTTTTGAAAATAGTTCGGACTATATATTGAAGCGCCCAAAGACAGACTAATCATGATACACTTTGCACAGATTCCCGTTTTGTTGGACTTTCCTGTTTACATGTTTTGAAGCACTTTACCCACTGTTAATATTTTAAATCTTCCTGTTTTGTTGTAAATAAATGTTTACATGTTTTAAAGCACTTTAGCTATTGTTAATATTTTAAATATGCCAGTTATGTTATAAATAAATGTTTAGATATTTAAAACACTTACTGCTTGATCCTTCCCCTGAATCTGTGTCTGGGATAACGGCTGGGGAGGGTTGGTAGGGGATCTCTGTGAGGGTGATGAAGAGCTCCTGGCTGTCGGGCAAATCAGCGTTGTAAGCGCTGTCTACTGCCTCGTCCTCCTCATCTCCTTCCTCCTCTTCCCCGTCCGCTGAGGAACCGGCCGCGGACAATATCCCATCCTCAGAGTCCACGGTCAGGGGTGAGGTAGTGGTGGCGGCCGCACCTAGGATGGAATGCAGTGCCTCGTAGAAACGGGATGTGTGGGGCTGGGCTCCAGAGCGTCCGTTTGCCTCTTTGGTCTTCTGGTAGCCTTGTCTCAGCTCCTTGATTTTCACGCGGCACTGCGTTGCATCCCGGCTGTATCCTCTCTCTGCCATGGCTTTAGAGATCTTCTCATAGGTCTTTGCATTCCGTCTTTTGGAGCGCAGCTCGGAAAGCACGGACTCATCTCCCCACACAGCGATGAGATCCAAGACTTCCCGATCCGTCCATGCTGGGGCCCTCTTTCTATTAGATTGCACGGCCATCTCTGCTGGAGAGCTCTGCATCGTTGCCACTGCTGCTGAGCTCGCCACGGTGTCAAAACAGAAACTGCGCTTCAAACTGCCCAGACAGGAAAAGGAATTCAAATTTTCCCGGGGTGTGGCTGGTCAGAGCATCCGAGCTCGGACTGCTGTCCAGAGCGTCAACAGAGTGGTGCACTGTGGGATAGCTCCCGGAGCTATTAGCGTCGAATTCCATCCACACCTAGCCTAATTCGACATGGCCATGTCGAATTTAGCGCTACTCCTCTCGTTGGGGAGGATTACAGAAATCGATTTAAAGAGAGCTCTATGTCGAACTAAATGGCTTCCTGGTGTGGACGGGTGCAGGGTTAATTCGATATAACGGCGCTAAATTCGACATAAAAGCCTAGTGTAGACCAGGCCTAAGAAAGCGATACAATCATCTAGAGCCTTGGATGGAAGGAATGGGCTAAAATCCTTGGGGCGCGGCTAGAGAGCGAAATCAGTGGTGAAGCTGGTGCAAGTGCATTAGTATCTCTGGGCAAACACAAAAGCCCAGTAGTCTAATTAGTCAGTAGGCTTGGGGCTCAGTTGTTGTTTTCCTTTGTTTTTACTTAAAGAAATGCATTTATGACTGAAGCATAAATGTGCTTACAAAGTGAATCCCATCGGCTGTGTTTTGTGTTTCATTTTATAAAGGCCCTTATGGCTTGGCTTGGATATTTTATTTTTACAGAAACAGAACAGCGGGGATTTTTTTGGTGGGTTAAGGAAAATCACAACAAACCCGCCTGTCTGACTTTTATACAGTTTTAGACAAAAGCAAATATTTTTGCTGGTGTTGCCTGTCTCTCACTCTGCGGTCAGACAACGAACCTTGCCGTCTGGGTTAAAAAGTCCCCGACAACAGGAATATAATTCAATATGTTTCCCCACAAAAAATATTAGAGCACCTGTAATTTGTGGGCTAATCCGTCATGCAGGTTCTAATATAAGATTATGGCAGATTCATGATTAAATTCTATCCACCTCTAGGTTTATGATGCCAACTTGCCTCATAATGCATTTAATGCTCATGCTGTTGTAGCCTAAGTACTGCACTTAGGGACAGTTCCAAAGATGGTTGTTCTGGGTTTGTTTGGTTTTTTAGTCTCTCTCTTTCAAAAGGTTCTGATCTGATCATTATATGTTGTTTTGGTTTCCATAGGGCTGGGAAGGAGCTCGGCGGTCCGTGATAGGTGACAGCACAGAATTATTAACTCACTACTATGATGATGCAAGGACAATGTATGAAGTATTTAGAAGGGGATTTAACATATCTGGTAAGTGATGATGATATGTAAAGATCATTATATTGACTAAAACCCCACTGGGCTTCAATGCTGCTATCTCAGCGCTGGTCAGAGGGTAGAATTGGGTCTGTTGTCTTTGGAGAAAACAGCTGTATAGATTGGGGCTGAATCCTGCTCCCAGTGAAGTCAATAAGAGCTCTGCTGTTGACCAAGATTGGGCCTTGCTGGCTAGGGGAACAACTGGCCCCAAAAAATGTGGGCCTGTAGGATTTTTGAGTGCAGAAGTGAAGCAAATTCAGGCCATAGTCAGCTTCTTAACTGCAGAAACCAGCATACAGCCATGGAAGAGCTTCACAGGCTACAGCAAGCATGGAAACCATGGTATTTTTACTGAAGTGGGGAGTGTGGGTGAATCTCCAAAAGTGGCAAAATGGCTTAGGCCCCTACATCCCACTGGCTTTCATAAACACTTAAATCACTTTGGCACTTTAGAAGATGTTATCCGGTGGCCACCATTTTTAAGCTTGGGCACCTACATTCCTATTTAAGCACCTGAATAAGTAGTTTGGTTTCCAGAGCTGCTGAGCTCCTGCAGCTGCCCCTGGCAATGACTGTGGAGTTCCACATGCAGAGGGCCTGCATTAGACCCTGCTTGGGTAAACGGCAGAAATTTCGCAAGATCCCATCTGCATAGCTTAGCAAATGAACTACACCCCTTCCACAGTTGATCTTTCTCAGTTGACCTACATCTGACACACTGAACTGTAAAAAGTGCTGTTTTCATTGTCTAGGGATAAAACAGTGGCTACAGCATACAGGGAACAGAAAGTAGAAACAATATATTTATCTTGCAGTAATTAAACTAAAGGAAGCAAGGAATAAATCTCTCTCTGGCCTAGGTTGACACTAATTTTGTAGCTTGAAATGTCCTCAAGAAAGCATCATGTTAGTGCTATTAAAAATTACAGTTGATACAAACCCTGCCAACTGCTGGTTTAGATGGATAGAATTATTAAACATTTTTTGACTGCATTCATTTATTTGAACTGTGATTTTTGGTATGGCAGGACTGGTCCAGTGGATAGGGCACTAGGAGCCAGGAGCAGGGGAGAGTCCGAGTAGCTCCAAGATGATGACTCTTAAAGTCCCTTCAGAGGCCTGGTCTACACTCGGGGGGGGTGTGTCGATGTAAGATACGCAACTTCAGCTACGGGAATACCATAGCTGAAGTCAACATGTCTTATTCCGACTTACCTCCCGTCCTCAGGGTGCGGGATTGACGGCCGCGGCTCCCCCGTCGACTCCGCTACTGCCGCTCGCTCCGGTGGAGTTCCGGAGTCAACGGGGAGCGCGTTCGGGGATCGATATATCGCGTCTTAACGAGACGTGATATATCGATCCTCGATAAATCGATTGCTACCCGCCGATACGGCGGGTAGTCTGGACGTACCCTAAGTACCAGCTTTTCCTATCAGAGCCTTGCAAGAGCACAAAAGGAGCAGGGAGGGGGAAAGTCCCTGAAAAGGTTTGACCTTTTATTAATGAGGACTTTGCAAACTCAGGTCCTGATAAGATGGGTTTTTTGAGTCAGAGAGGTCTTGAACTGGAAGCTGTGAATTCCAGAGTCCTAATGCCAGCTATAACATTGACCACACACAATCTGAATGCTTAAATTCTGTTTCTCGGTTTCCCCATCTTTATATAAATAAACTGGGCTCGACACCTTTTTGTTCTTTTTTACTGCACTTGAAGTTTAAGGTGAAAAATCTTAAAAATGTAAATACATAAATAACATTTGAAGTGATAAGCTGAGGAGAAGAGGAACAGGAACAGGGGTGAGAGAAAGGGAGGTGAAGGGGATGTAATGTACGGACTAAGTGAAAGGAATGCATGCAAGTACAGGTTCTAGTCAGAGCCCTGTGAACTGCACGATGGAATTTGCCTCAGACTCTGTCTCATGTTGCAGAATTGTGCCTTGGAATCTAAGCACTGACATCAAGAAAAAAGGTTTCTAGCTTTCCTGGTTGGGGGGGGGAGGGGCCTTTCAAACTTGAACCAAGTATAAACCAGCATAGCGATGCCTGCCTGAGTCTGCAGACAACCTGAAACAATAGCTTTGAGAGGTGTGTGATCTTGCCCTCATCTCTGTGAGATGTTAACTTTGAAACCTAACGATGACGGTTTAAATGGCAACATTGGTAACTGATCATTTAGCAGGAACACCCAGTAAATGAGTCTCTTAGTCCTCAATTGCCTCCCACGCCTTCCCAGATGCCAAACCCCCCAGCCATGACAACTTTTACAAAGCAGTTATGAGTTTTTAATACAAAATTTTGCAGTACATTGAAAATTAAATGTACAGGCAGGGTAAATTTAATTACATTCAGTATAAAATTAAATGACACCTGGAATACTGTATCGGTTCTACATTAAATGCAGTAAAAACCTTCATATTTAACATGTATTTGAAGCTTTCTGGGCGTTTCCTGTCTGGTACCCTGAAGTGTGTCATTATTTTTTATTATTATTTGTATTTCCATAGTCCCTAGGAGCCCTAGTTATGGACCAGGATCCCTTGTGCTAGGTGCTGTGCAAACACAGAACAAAAAGCCCTGCCCCAAAAAGCTTATGGTCTGAGTATCTAGGCTCCTGGCCCAGGGCCGGCTCCAGCATTTCTGCCGCCCCAAGCAAAAAAAAAAAA